TGCCGTTCTACGTGAACGGGCTGGTTCACCCTCCCGTCCGCTGACGCCGCCATCCCATGGCACAGGGCTTGGTGGGGGAAGAATAGCTGAACGGCTACCTGATGGCAGCCTCCTCACCATCTGCAAAGAAGTCGATGACTTCTTGTCTACCAGACTGAGTGTCCTACGACACTTTCGCGATTCGATGGCTGAAAGCCAAGACCTGCAGTGAAAATATGCAGATGAAAAAGAATGAGGCAAAACAGAAAGCGTTAAGGACAAAGTCCTGGCTTTATTAAACTCTAAAAACCTTTCTACACACGCATCTTCTGCTATCTTCCCGACGAAGCTTCGTCCACGTTTTATTGGACCGTTTAAGGTTGTGGCCAAGCGGGGCCTAGCGTATACGCAAAACCTTCTTAAACGGATGCGCACCCACCCGGTGTTTTACGTGGGCTTGCACAAGCCGTATCGGGATTCGGTGCATGTGAACGCGGAAGCATTAGCACCAGAGCGAATCCTACGGGCCCTCGGCCACACAGAAACTGAATCAAAAACTGGTTCTAAGCACGGAGTGCAACAACCTTCATATCCAATGGAACCAACCGCCCCATCGTTGCCTGCTACGACGCATTCGCCTGCTCCACGGCTAGGAGTCGCTCCGACAGAGCGCTGTAGTCCTCAAGGCGAGGCAGCCGGCGCACGATGCGCTCCAAATCATCAAGAGCGTCCGCACAGCGATATGCTACTTCAGTGTGACGCTCAGCGGAGCTCCGATCACGAAGGATCTCATCCTCAAGGGCTCGAAGAGCAGCGCGAGCCACCGGGCGGCGGTCAACCCGGTCATCACCGCCCATCACCGACTCTTCTCGATGAGAACGGTGACGTCCACTATCACGTAGATTGTCTAGTGGGACAAAGTCGTCAGCAGGGTCTGACCCAATATCTAGTGAAGTGGCGAGGGGTATCCCGACTCCGAAAACTCGTATAGTTTGAAAGCCAGTTCCCAGACGCCGTGGGCGCTTTTGATTAGAGAGATCAGGACGCCCCGTGCGTCTCGGCAATAGCCAGGGAAGCATAAGGGTCATGATCTGATCTCAAGCGGTGGCCTGAGCTCTTGCGGTCACAGACACAGAGCTCGCGGGAGCGTTAGGGGTTGACCCATACGTCACAGGGCGACAATCTGATGGGAGTCGACGGTGTGCTTTGAGTTTGGCAAATTTAAATCGAAGGTGGCGCTCCACACGCACGTCCACTTCCTTGTGGCTTAACTGTAAGGCATCCAGTGAGGAAAGGTTTCGGTGCCGTTGCACCATCGCTCAAAGAGCACTTCCTAATCTGTAGCGCTTTCACCAGGGGCAAGTACTACAGGTATCGTCCGCATTGTGGGTACACGAGAGCCACCTCGTTGAGCACACAGACGAGTGCGATAAGCTTCCAACGGAAACTCTTGTGGATCCAAAAGACGAGTTCGAAGAGCTGTCCGTTTGGCTAGCTCATCTTCCGTCATGACCGGGGGGCCGATAACGTGGAGGTGTAACGATCGAGTTACCGGGTCCTTCGTTTCCACAGGAATCCGTTAGGCGGAAGCCATATTCCACACGAGGATCAATGACCGACCGTGGATGGGAGCGCATCAGAGCCGCCTTACCGGCAGCTTCCAGCTCCCGCTTCTGTGCCTCATCGAGGTTACTAATGATTACACCACGTTCCTCAGGTGACGGGAAGTCAGGAAACGGACATGGGGTCCGCAAGGCGCGAGCATGGCTCGTCTCACGAAATAGTAAGTGAAGCGGATGTTCAAGTCGAATATCTGTTTAGAGCTGGATTGCAAAGCTATGATACGTCGCGCCTTTGCAATTCAGAGCACGAATTGCGTTTAAATATCCATTAGCAACTTTAACAGCTTCATTTTCATCCGTACATCCACCCTGGGTGATATGGCTCTTACCAATCATTGTGCTCTAAGCGCAAATGGTAAGTCTGATGCAAGCTGGTCATGTGGCTGAAAGAGCGCTCATGGAGGGGCTTTCTGACGCTCGTTTTACTCTTGGTTGGGTGGAATGCCCGAATGTATAGGCGTATAAGAGATCCACATCAGGGCGGCGAGCAACAAATGATTTGACACAGTTGTCAAGAGTCGGCGTGACTTTTGCGTGTGTAGTAAAACCAACTGGGCTTCGTAAACCAGATCCAGCTCGTTTTGGAAGAGCTACACATCGTCGAAAATTCTAGAGCGATGTGTCAAAAAAATTTCTGCCAATGTAAACGAGCGGCGCACGTAACACGTGCAGATGGCAAGTGAGGGCCTACTAGGCCGTGTGATGTCGGGTGTGTGTGAAACCTTCGACAACTTGTAATTCTGTTCAGACTGCATTTCCTCATATATTTCTTTTGAGATGATCAAGCTTTTGACAATCAAGCATTTACTGAAAATAGCAACAGCGACACCAGGTTGTCACGTGATCGCCGATATAGGCCATACAAACTGGATACCGAACAGAAAACGGCAAAATCATATTGTGATCCTATGATCAACATCTATCACATAATGCTTCAAAAAATGACGCCATTATGCCATAATCACCGCCTCAATAGCATCAGAACGTCCAAACCATCATACACTGGCATCACAAGATGGAAGGTCAATACGTGGATAACTTTGTCTTCCTTCTGCTAGATACAAGAGAAAGATTATAGATAGCGAACAGACCCGAAGTGTCTCTGGATTAATTCTCACTAAAAAACCTCGACTTCTCGCCAGGTATTTTCCTTGGTGTGCCTGTCTTTAGGACAACGTCTTTTCCGGTGAAACATTGAGCCGTTCGTTGTGGCAAACAGGACATACAAGTTTAGACTGCAGATACGGTAAGATACACAAATTTGTTGAGTAAGAATTCAAGCACAGCGGGTGCTCGCAGGAGCCCCACTTTTCCGCAGTATCGAGAGCGAAATTAGTATGACCGCCGCTCAGTTTCAAATTCTATATATCAGGTACTGTCTTTTGTGAGCTTATGCCTGACACTAGTTGTAACGAGATCACACGTACTCTGGAATGAATGGGTGGATCATACAAGATTGTGTGACTGTACGAAGGTGTAGATTACAAAAATTGGTGTAATCACACAATGGTGTGGCTACAGCGTAACAAGAAGCCACTACGTGGCGGGACTGCCAGTAGTTATGCATATTAATCAGGTTTTATTATTTAATTAGGAAAAGCTTAGGTTTTGGATATAGTAATACAGTTTCAATTTTGAACGAAAGAGTACATTTGCCTTGGGTTAAGGTTTTGGGTACTATCATTTTCAGCTATAGCATAGCACGAATGCGCATTTCTGCCGTGTCGAAGTGGTCTGGAATTGTTATTTGTCGAAATCCCTCCGTTCGAATTCAAGAATGGGATGATATTGTACAGTGGAAATTCCCATGTGGTGCTTAATTACTACGAACAATCCCTCGGTCTGTCTAGACGCGCTAGAAATACGCCTTTAATCAATTCTTGTAATGTAGCGCTAAGCCAGGAGCGTCTTGATGTAACGTCGGGCTGTGATCTCACGTTTGTAGATCGTCGAGGTAATCAAGCCAATGTACGCAGTACCTTGGTTTTTCCTAGTACTATGACTTCGTTGATTACGATCAGTTGACCACTCAACCACGTTTACTAGCAGCGTCATCGAAAACGAAGGCCCATATCGTACGAAAGGAAACAAAAAACTCTCTTATATTGCCAAAGCTAATAATGATGTTACCTTTTGAGTGGGACTCGATAGATGCAAGGATTTTGCTGCTGACATGAAGCCCCAATAGGCTCTAGATCGCTGGACCCAGAGGCTAGACGGGCTCGTGAGCCATATCCACAAGCTCGATGAAAATTGAAGTCGCCATTTACTAAAATTGCGAATATCACTTTCAGGGTGTCGTGATGTAATCAAGACGGTAATGGTTTGGCATATTCATCAGTATGACCTGTCGCGAATGTAGTCAATAAAGTCGACATATTCACTGCGCTGCCGACGTCAAATTAAACTAGATACCTCATCCCCTGTATGTACGTATATACATTCATGCTAACTTGTCTAACACCAACCAAATTACGCATCTAAGAGTGTAGCTATAAGTTAGCTTCCTACAAGCAAAGTGCACAGCAAATCCGATGCATTTCGTGCCCACAAGAAGTTTTTTTGTCTTTCTACAAAAGTTTTTTAAGCTTACTCAAAAAGCTCTTGGTCGATAGAACTTTGTGAGAGCCGATTACGCTTCCAACGACATCAGGTTGAAACATTCTCAGAGGTTTGTTTTCATAACTATCAAACACCTCCAGGCAAGAGACTACAGCTTGCAGACCTTGGGCCAACAATACACTATTAGACGCGTTTTATATTTAAAGATACCTGAATGTAGCATGTTTTATCCTCAAAGAGGATACACTATAATTTACGATTGGACCTTAAATACACGTTTTCACGCTCAAAAGATGGGACACAGCCGCCTCAAACACCCCCCCCC